CAAATGAATTTGTGTGCGATTATTTCAAGCAGTAAATCACAGCAAGCACAATGTGAATTGTGTCTATACAAGAAATACGGCTTCGTTTAAAACGACTTAGCTTTGTTTCCAGTTAGCAAATGAAACCTAAAGCTAGTTACGCAAGCTGTAAAAGCATTGTTGCAAATGAAGCTGACCTACTGTGCACGCCTAAGTGTTTCCCACAATGGGGAGAGTTTTGACTTGGTCGTAAGGCCAACGTTTCAATGATGCTATCATTGGTCACTAGAGGTTGCAGAATGTTGATGTTTGTTTGTTTGTTTAGTAGTCAGGCGCCGTTATCTGCAGACAAGCAAGGCGAAGGAGACAAAGCGGTAGTCGAAGACAGCTAAAGGAGAGGGAGAGATGTGATAGAATGGAGAGGGAAGTGAAGGGGAGGAAGACTCACTCTCACCTATCCACTCACGTGTGCGCCATCTACAGTGAATGAAGCGATTCTTCGTACACCACCTCTGACAGACGCCCTATCAACCAGCACCGTCTTCCCGCACAACACAAAGTAAGAAGCCATAACGAGAAACAGTAAATAAATGAACGATTGCTTGAGGAAGGGATGATGGATGAATAGGTGGACTGCAGCAATCCTCCTCCTTCTTTTCCTCCTCCTCCTCCTCTGACCACGTCAGCAGCTGTGCCACAGTGGTAGCGGCAGCAGCACCCTAGCAGTGAAGAATGGATGCATTGCCTCATTTCAGTGGTAGTTCCTCTCCATCAAAATGTCTTATTGTTGTTGTCGGTGATGCCGATGTTGACGGTTTCAGCTTAAGTGTCTACACACGGTGGTGACAAGTGTAGCAGTAAGTGTGCGCCACCACTTACTTTCATGGAGCCAATGTCTCTTCCTTCTACTGTGAAGGTGATCGGCCTCAATTACCGATTGCATCTTCTTCCTCTTCCCTTCCACCTTTATGTCCCCACCAACTGCCTCCGCATCTCGGTCCTCCTCTAGTACCTCCTACTTCGGAGTGATCTTTACCTTCCAGTGCCACAACCACCACCTCCACTGCCGCCTTCTTGTCCAGTAACCACTGCAATACCTTGTTGAGGCATTCGCAGCTCGACATTCTAGTCCTCCTCCTCCACCTCCATTTCTGTCACTCTCACCCCCGCATCCACCTCCGACTGCTGCTGCTGCTGCTAGCACTTCTGTTCCTCCAAACCTTGATGGTCGCAAGAAAGGGCCCCATGATGCTATGAAATTGAACGCGCATGACAATCTTACTAACCTCCTATCAAGTTTTTCTGTCGACCTCTCCTCTCTCCGCTCCTCCTCCTCCTTCACCTCATTCCCCTCGACCACATCCCTTTCCCCTGCCCCTTCCTCCTTATCCTCCCCCTTCACATCATTATCCGTCTGAACTTACATGTGACAGACTTCATTCCCACTAACACTGCTACCGAGGTCAATTCCAAACAAAAGGCTTAATATGTGTACCATGTTGTAGGCGAAACAGAAGACGCGAAAATGATTTGCGTGATGGGAGGCGAGCCAAAGCAAACCCACCCAAAAGAGGAGACAAAACGCTAATTAGTCTGCTCGAGAGCATCGTCGCAATTATGATTACAGATGGAGTGAGGGAAACGTACCAAACCGATTGGATTCATCGATTGTGACAGCATGCGAAAGTGAA